TCTAATTTATCCATGTCAGAAAATGAGTCTGCAGATTTCCATGTCACCTTAGTAAGTGATCCATCTTCCTAAGAAATCCTTACAGGAGAGGAGGAAGAGGAAAAGCTAGATGCTCAGAAGTATATAAAAGTGTATATATGTTTTTTAAAGTGTGATCTTGAAATACATGAAGATAAATAGTAAAATGAAAATATTTGAGTGTGTGTATATATAGCATATATACATATATATGTATATATAATGTATATATAAACTTTATTTTCAAAAACCATGGGTGATATCACTTCAAGTATGGGAATATTTCTTTAATGAGCTGTTAGACTTCATTTGCTGCAAAAAGCAATGCATTTATGGTTAAATCTAAAGATACAAAGCTGCCTGCAATACCCAGATTTCATTTTTAGGGACTTGATAAAATTGAAATTTTTTATTCCAGTTGATTACCTAGCACCATCTTGTGGCTGAAGAATTATTTTTTATTCTCTCTGTGCACTACAAATCTTTACTGGTTATACTAAGATTTGGGTGCCACCTGCTGGACCTTTCTAAGAAATGAATGCATAGCAAATAGTCTTGAAATGTGAAAAATCAATTTACATTGCAGGAACAAGGTTTCTAATCACTTTGGGACACAAGATAATATTTCCAAATAGGCTGAACCTTATTTCTAAGAATTATTGTAAATGACTTACATATAATAGTGTAAAAATTATGTATCCTATTGGTTCTTATGGAAAAATAGGCCATCTGCCCTGTTGGAGACTTAATCATATAGTTTATATGAAGACAACCTTTTCTGAGTGTGTGCCCAGGCCACAGGGCCTGGGCATTGTGTCTGCTGAGATTTATTTGCTCAAGGTAGGTGCTCTACCATGTGAGCAACACTTTCACTTGCAGTTTTCTAATAGTTAATTGAAGCATTTCATGGACTTTGCAGTCTGAGCTGGCTTCCAATAAGATCTTCAGATGTTTCCTGAGAAGCTAGGATTTTATGTGTGAGCCACCAGCATCTTAGTTAAAGACATTTCCTTAAGTAGCAAAGGTCTATCTGTATGCAAAATAAGTGTGACTCTATCTCAAAACAAAGACAAGATGCATGGGGTGTTGATGAAATGGTAGAGTGTTTACCTAGCTTATACAAAGCCCTGGATTCAATACCTACCAGTGATGAAGTTTCCAAAGAACAGATCACTCAGAGAAAAGGATGGAAGACATTTGAAAATGTTTTGCACTATTATTTGTCTGAGTGTGTAAGTCCATGTGTGAGTCTACTAGCTTTGTAAGCCAATAGGAAGATAAGATTGTTTCCAGTAAGCCATTTTGCCTACAATCCTTTCAACCATTTTTAATTGAAATGTTGTATACGAAATTAAAACAATCCCAGTAAGAGAGAAAGTGATTATGCAAGTGCAAATATCCCCAAGGACTTTAATCATCCTGACTACTTACATTTTTAGAGGTATAAGTAAAATAGCCAAACATCTATGCTTTTTGCTTAGATTTTTTTTTTAATGTCTGTCATGGGGCTTGAACTCTGGGCTTGGGCGCTGTCCTTGTGCTCTTCAGTTCAAGGCAAGCGCTCTACCGCTTGAGCCACAGTGCTACTTCTGGCTTTCTAGTGGTTTATTAGAGATAAGAGTCTCACAGACTTTTCCTACGCTGGCTGGCTTTGAACCGCAATTCTCAGATCTCAGCCTCCTGAGTAGCTAGGATCACAGGTGTGAGCTACCTGCTCCTGGGATTGCTTAATAATTTTTTAACTGAACTTTTGTTATACATTGCAGAAACCAATCTACAAGAACAATGATTCTTGGCTGATATCATCCCTTTCATTAATCTCCTTTTTCTCCCCCATATTAACTCCTCTCAATTTTCCTAGATTCATAGGAAAAAAATAATTTCTAGAACTTCTAGTGTTGATGTTGCTCCCCAAGAAATAATTGCTCAGTTCCTTTAAGTTGTATTTTTGCTTGTCCAGCTAACTGACCAGTTAATAGTTAATAAGTCTACTTACAACTATTTACAAATAGTTAATAAGTCTATTTACAACTAGTGTGTTTTCCAAAAAAAAAAAAAACTTTTTCACAACAAAATGGTTCACAACAGAATTTTTTAGGATTTAATTTTTTTGGGAGGGGGTCCGGTCATGGGGCCCAATCTCTGGGCCTGGGCGCTGTCCCTCAGCTCTTCAGTTCAAGGCTAGTGCTCTACCACTTGAGCCACAGCACCACTTCTGGCTTTTTTCATTTTGCTAATGTGGTGCTGAGGAATCAAACCCAGGGCCTCATGCATGCAAGGCAAGTGCTCTACCACTGAGCCACCTTCCCAGCCCCTGGTTCACAACAGAATGAAGCAACTATGGTGGGTTATCTAGGTGGTCCCTACACGCCATCCTAATTGTCTTTATAATTAGGTACAGACCGATTAGATACACTCAGAAAACCACACAATTCCAGCTTTCCATCTTTACTATCTTTCTCTTCCTGTTCTCCACAGCGTCATTTCTTAATACATCTAGCTCAGACTCCTTGGCTGGTTTACCATGTCTGTGGTGAGTTCTAAATTCTGTCAACTTCTTTTTCTTCTCTCAGAGCTTCTAGCTGGATTAACCCAACTTTACCTTCTTCCCAGTGGAGGGGGGCGGGTATAAGCCTGGTGTGGGAGGTAGGAACTGAGGAGGGCTGAACTTGATTGCCTCTGTTTGGGTTCTAAGCACTACTTACATGATGCATTGCTGCACCAGTCTTTATTATTTTTTCTAAGTGTCTTCTTTTTTTTTATTGTGAAAATACCGTACAGGGGGGTTACAATTACATGGGCAAGGTAATGAGTATATTTCTTATCAAGCATGGTTGCCTCCTCCTTTGTTTCCCCTTCCCATCCCTTCCCATCTCCTCCCCTCCCTCTTCCTCCCCATCCACTGCCAAAGTTGGGAAGTTCATTTTTTGACATAACATCTTGTACATCTCATTGTTGCATTGGGTCCACCTGTATCCCTATTTAAACAATTTGCTTTTTCCCTTCCCTCCCCAAATTGTACCAACATTAAATACAGTGAAAACAGGGGTTATACCATGGGGGAGGGACATACTAAGCAACAAAGAAAACATCTTATAGATATGTTAGAAACAATCACAAGAAAGAAAAAAACATTTGAGTCCTAATCTTGGGATTCATTTCACCTAACATCAACTTATCTGACCTTGTCTGCTTGTCTCAGACATATACTAGTAATTGCAAATAAGAGAAACCATGGGACCTATGTTTCTTTGGGCTTAGCTTACTTCACTTAATATAATTTTTTCCAAGTTTTTCCATTTCCTAACAAATGGGCAATATCATTCTTTCTGATGGAGGCATAGAATTCCATTGTGTATATATACCACATTTTCTTGATCCATTCATCTACTGAGGGGCATCTAGTCTGGTTCCATATCTTAGCTATGGTAAATAATGCTACAATAAACATAGTTGTGCTGGTAGCTTTAGTGTGGTCTTGTTTGTAAACATTTGGGTAAATGGGGGTTGCTGGGTCATAGGGAAGTTCTATGTGAAGTCTTTTGAGGAACCTCCATACTACTTTCCAAAGTGGTTGAACAAGTTTACACTCCCACCAACAATGCAGTAAGGTTCCCTTCTGTCCACATCCCCTCCAGCATCTGTTGTTATTAGAGTTCTTGATTACAGCCATTCTAACTGAGGTGAGGTGGGATCTCAATGTTGTTTTAATTTGCATTTCTTTTATGGCTAGGGAGGTTGAACATTTCTTCATGTGTCTATTGGCCATCCTTCTTTCCTCTTCAGAGAAGTTTCTCTTTAAGTCTTAGCCCCCTTATTTATTGGGCAGTTGTTTCTTTGAGGATTTGTTGTTGGGGGATTTAATTTTTTGAGTTCCAGGTATATTTTAGATATGAGACCCTTGTCTGTTGTATGGCTAGTGAAGATCTTCTCCCAATCCGTGGGCTTTCTATTGATCCTGTTAGCTATGTCCTTTGCCATGCAGGAGCTCTGCAACTTTATGCAATCCCATTTGTCCAACCTTTCTTTGATTTGTTGTGTTTCTGGGTCTCTATTAAGAAAATTTCTGCCTGTGCCAAGGAGACCTAAAGTTTTTCCTATTCCATCCTGTAATATTTTCAGAGTGTCTGCTTTGACTCCGAGGTCTTTGATCCATTTGGAGTTGATTCTGGTACCGGGTGTTATATAAGGATCTAGCTTTAGTTTTCTGCCAGCACCATTTACTGACGAAGCTGTCTTTCTGCAGTATTCACCCCAAACTTTCTGTACTTTGTGGAAATCTCCAATTCCACAGCTTTTAGTCCTTCACCCACTGATGGTGGGACATACAGGTGGAACTTAATTATGCCCAACACTGTTGAATGAGTTTATACATATTCAGGGAACAACTCCTTACAGGACTCAAGAAAATAACTGGATTCTTGGAAAGAATCTTTGAAAGAAGATACCATCATATTTAACAACTACCTGAAGGTAATATAATTACAAAAAAAAATGAGCTAGATTTTAAATCCAGAAGGTCTGCTCCAAAGCATGCTTTCTGGATTACAGGGCCATATGCTGCTCTTGAAGCTCACCCTGGCACCACCTTAAATCTTCACCTTTCAAATGAAAAACACTCACATCCCTCCCCCCCACCATGTTCCATATATCTCTATTTGTTTCCGTGTTATCTCCCTCCAGGAGCCTCCTCTGAGGCCTCACAGCACAGACCTCCCCTTGCCAACAAACCTTTCCTGTCTCTTTAGGTCCAGCAAGAGAGATAGGATATAAGGACTGATAATAAGGGAGTGTACATAATCCTAAAACACTTGGATCAACTACGGGCTTTAGGTTCCTGGCCTTGAGACTGAAGAAATGGGTGGGGCTCACGCTGTAAGAATAAGAGAATTATGATGTTACAGGGTGGGGCCTGGCTTGAAAGCTTAGAGGGGCCCAGGTGGCTGGCAGTGGGCCCCGAGGGCCTCTTCAGGCTCTACAGGATGTGTCTACGTTTCAGGGATGACGATCCGACCCAAGTCTACCCTGTGAGTTCTTAATACTGTTTAAGAGACCTGCGCTCCATATTTTGCCCTCCAGGCCTAGTTGGCCAATCCCACATCCATTATTGCTGCTGGACACATCCTGGAGGGGGCGCGCAGCACTAGATTTACTAGGGGTCAAGCGAGTTTGTCCTAGTCAAAGACATTGACCTGTGCTAGAGTGTGGTGTTGGAATTACAGATGTGGGGCGGTGGGGGTGGGGGGGAGGGAGGAAGGTTAGTGTTGTCAAGAGTGAGATGCAGAGATTACTTTGGAGGTTAAAAACCTGCATGAAAATGAGGAGGGGGTGTTATTTAAGAGTCAGTTTGAACCGGGCTCCGGTACGCTCACGCCTGTAATCCTAGCTACTCAGGAGGCTGAGATCTGAGGATAGCGGTTCAAAGCCAGCCCAGGCAGGAAAGTCTGTGAGACTCTTATCTCCAATAAAAACCACTAGAAAACCGGAAGTAGTGCTGTGGCTCAAGCGGTAGAGCTCTGGCCTTGAGCTGAAGAGTGCAGGGACAGCGCCCAGGCCCAGAGTTAGAGTCAGTTTGAAACTTAAAGGAAAGAGGGGAACATAGTAAATGAACAACCAAGCTCCTTTTCCTCTATCACCTCCAATACCTCAGGTTATTCAGGCTTTAGAAGCTAGATTCGATCCATGATACCCATGCTGAAAGCACCCTGGTACCACTAATGACATACCAACAATTGTGAATTTTACCAAGGACATTGCTCTGCTGGGCAGACTCATACTGTAATCCTAAGTACTCAGGAGGCTGAGATCTGAGGATCATGGTTTGAAGCCAGCCTGGAGAGGAAAACACTAACTATATATATGTTTTTATTGTAAAAATACTGTAAGAGGGGTTACAGTTACATAAGTAAGATAATGAGTACATTTCCTATTGAGCATTGTTACCTCCTCATTTGATTTTCCCCTACCATCCCTTCCCTCCTGCCTCCCCAATCCACCCCCCAGGAGTAAAGTTCATTTTCAAAATAGTGTCTTGTATATTTCATTGTTACAATAGGTCAGCCTGTATCCTTATTTCAGCATTTTAGTATTTCTCTTCCCCTCTCCAAATTAGAAAAATGTATATACAAGATTCAGGGCACCAGAATCAAATACCATGAAAACAGGGGTTATACCACAGGGGAAGAACATACAAAAGAAATTTTAAAAATCACATAGTACATCATAAATACATTTAAGAAATAGTAAGAAAGAAAAAACCACTTGTGTCCCTATCTTGGGGTTCATTTCGCTTAATATCATCTTATAAGGTCAAATGTACATAGTTTTTTACCTTTAATGTTTTATTTCCAAGAAACCACCACAAGACTAGCATTGGTTCTGTGGCTTTCGTAGTAGAGCACTAGACTTTAGCAAAAACAAATCTCAGGAACAGTATGAAGGCCCTGAGTTCAAGCCCCAGAAATGGCACACACACACACACACACACACACACACACACAAAATAAATCTTATTCTCTCTCTCCTGTAAAATCTTTTATAACTGAGTCTTTTTCCTCATAATATTGTTTCCATCTTCTTTTTATTTAACATTGGCTTCTTATTATTTTGCCTTTGTAGCTGATATTCATAATCCTGTATTTATCAATAAAATTAATTAAGCTAAGTGCTGGTGGCTCACTCTTGTAATCCTAGCTACCAAGGAAGTTGCAAACTGAGGGTTAGTGCTTCAAATCTAGTCTCAGAAGGGAAGTATTTGAGACTCCTATCTCCAATTAACCACCAAAAAGCCAGAAGCAGAACTATGGCCCAAGTAGTAGAGCACCAGCCTTGAGTAAAATAGGTAAGAGACAATGCCCAGGCCCTGAGTTCAAGCAAGCCTTTATATCAGAATAGAAATATATATACATTTACACACATATATATATCAGATTAGAAATATATCAGAATAGAAATATATATACATTTACATACATATATATCAGATTAGAAATATATATACATTTACATACATATATATGTATGTACATATGTATGTAAATGTATATATTTCTATTCTGATATACATATTCTATTCTAATATACATATATGTACATATATGTATATGCATATAGGTTTTCTGTTCTAGTACTGCTTTCTCTTGACTTGTATGTGTAGTCATGTGTATGTTTTAATTTCACCTGTTATGCAGGAAGGTCCAAGAATCCATCACCCTTCAGATGTCACTACCAGGCAGGCAAGTAATGCTTAAATACATTCTGGCTCTTTTGTCAATGTGACTTTTTTTTAGCTTATGTTTTTATGAGTGGTGATCCCTACCATTATATAAGCAGGTGTTCTACCACTTGAAACATGCCTGTAGTCCAGGATTGTTCTTAACTAGATACTTTTGCAATATCTTTATTGGGACCCTTGTCAATCTTGTGACTACCATGGGAATTTGCTTTAAATAGGGTATACTGAATATCTTATTTGTAGTTTTTAAATATAGCCTAATATATTTATAAAAATGTGACCATGCATAATTTGTAAGAAGTTGTAATAAAATATATCCCCAACTTAAGAGTGAATATATGATGAATCCTTGTGAGATCTCTGCATTTTATCTCCCTGCATCTCTCCTACAGACAACTTCTATATTGATTTTATTTCACCACTCTATTCTTTTGAGTTTTTTCTCAGATATTTGCTATTATAATGATATTATTGCACTTTCGCTTTACTTTGAATTTGACTGATGTAATCTCATACCTAATTCAGCATACTATTTAACTTCTTTTCAACATTGTGTCCTAAGATTATTACATATTACTCTTATGGACTTGTGTTCCTTTATTTTCATTGCTGTTTAATATTTCAAGTGGAACAGGTTCATTAATTCTTTTGTTTTGGAGACAGGGTATTACCTTGTTTTGATTTCAAGAGAAGGGATACTATCAGCATTCTATTACATCTCATTTTTCATAAACAAGAGGCTTAACTCACCATTTAGGAGGGGAATGACTGGGTCATGGGGTAAATGAACATTTCATGTGTTTTAAAGCAATACCGCATTCATTATTAATGAAGTTGTACTAATTTATATGCATAATGGCAGTTAACACAAGAGTTGTCATTATTCATCTTCACTCTCCTCTAAGCATTCTAGCTAATGTGCCATACAATGTCAACACAGAAATCTGAGTGGGAAATGTAGCATGTAAGAATAAGAACTATATTTTCTTATTTCTATAAAGAAATTGTGTCCCATGTCTTTAATGCACATTACGTTTACAATAAAATTAAACAGACATATCCTGGGACTAAAAATGTGTGCAGTGGTGATGCAGAACTCAAGAACAAATGTTCTCTAGGTGCTGGTGGTTCACGCCTGTAATCCTAGCTATTCAGAAGTTTAAGATCTGAGGATTGTGGTTCAAAGCCAGCCCAGGCAGAAAAGTCTGTGAAAACCTTATCTCCAACAAACCACCAAAACACTGGAAGGGGAGCTGTGGCTCAAGTGGTACTACAGTGCTAGCCTTTCTTGAGGTGAAGAGCTTAGGTACAGCGCCCAGGCCCAGAGTGCAAGCCCCACAATAGACAAAAAAATAAAATAAAAATACTGATCAAGAATAAATGTTCTCCTTTAAAAAAAAAAGCTTGATGAGGTGCAATTGTGTTTATCTGCAGGTATGAGCCATATAGTTGAAAGAAATGTTTGTTTCTCATTTCTCTCAATTATAGACATCGTATCTATATATGATACCTTACAATGTCTCTTAACTATATACATCATACAAACAGTATGTTACTTTTATGTTAGAAAGGGTATGACTTGGTTTAATTCTCTGTTCCTGAAGTCCATAGAGAAACGTATTCAGTATATGCAAAACCTCAAGAAAGAAAAGAGGAAATTAAACAAACGCTTTGCAAGGCCCACCCCTCTGCCAGAACCAGGACTCCATGTAAGTAAACAGCTGTCACCAAAACTAACAGATTGTAGAAGGCTAGCGTCCTTTTTTAATTCATCTGCTACTCTTTTATTTCCCCATTTTCTGTGGAAAAAAATTATTATTTAAGTTCTGGGGAAAGTATCTGAAAATTCTCATGATCAACTTCTCATTCTTCAAATCTTTTTTTTTAATTTTTTTTTGCATTTGTCCACTAGTGGTAATATGGCTTGATAAAAGTTTGATCTTTGAAACTGTCTTGTTTTGGATTCCAGTTCTTGTTTTTCCATGTTAGCTGTCTAGCAAGGCCATTCACTTAAATCTTTGGGTTCTATTATTTCGAAAATAAATTACATAATCTCCTGGAAAAGGTTTAATTAGTCTAGGTCTTCATACTTGAAAAATCAGAAAACTAAATAGACCAGTTATAACTTATTCCATCTTGCTATTTCACTTGACAAGGATTTGAAGGTTCTAGCACTCAATTTACTATATTGTACATGAGTATTGTGGTTTGCATGTAGCATGAAATTATATTTCTTGTAGACAAACATAAACCCTATGCTTTGATTTAAAATCCTTCAGGTACTTGAGGAGAAGAACTACTTTCTCCCAATTTCAGACTTTTCTTCAGAGTTAAAAATCCAGTTAACTTACCTACTCCTCTTTCAGCCTGTTTATAAACCCTGCTTCTGTCTAGCAATCTGCAGAATCATTGCTGTATTTCATGAAGAAAGTTATTTTATCAGCCTTACTAAAGTATAATTTGCATCTAACAAAATGTTCATGTTTTAAACACATGCTATTTTGCTTCAATATAAATGCATTCAATAAACATTATGACAACTAAGATTATGTTCATATGCATCACTAATCAAATTTTCTTATGTTCTAATTTATGTGTATGTGGGGTATATGTGTGTATGTATGTGTGTGGCTGGTCTTGGGCTTGAATTTAGGAACTGAGCTCTGTTCCTGGGCTTTTTTACTCAAGGCTAATGCTCTACCACTTGAGCCATGGATCTACGGTCAGCTTTTGGATAGCTAACTGGAGATGATTCCCATGAATTTTCCTGCCTGGCTGCCTTTGAACCACAGTCAGATCTGCTCCTGAGTAGCTAGGATTACATGCATGACCCTAGCACTTGGCTCTATTTTTTGTTTAAATCAGTACCTTTTAAAATAGTAATAGTAAAATAGTAACATAGAAAAGTTCCCTCTTTTTCCTGCTACTGGTTCTTTATTAGTGTCATCTTGTGTTGCTCTGATATAGTTGTCGCAATTGATGAACTATTATTTCCTTTAAAGGTCACAGATTGTTTGTATTGAAGTTTAACTTTGTTTCATACATTTCTATGGGTTTTGACAAATACATGCAGGTGTTTATTCTTCCCTATAGCATCATATACAGCAGTTTCACTGCACTAGAAATCTTCTCTCCACATGCCATTCATCATTTTGATTTCCTTCCTTCGCACTCTGGCAGTGACCTTTTCCACATAGTCATATAGTAGAAATAATACAGGATGTGCCTTTCAAACTTGCTTCTTTTTACTTAACAATATGATTCAGCCTCCTTTATTTAAGCTAGCTTGATTAAACTAGTTCATTATATCACTGAAAAATAATCTACTTGATGGTTGTGACATATTTATTTATATATTTTGGAACATATTGTTTGCATCCAATTTGGGTCAATCCTAAATGAAACTCCTATGCAAATTCATATGTTGGCCTGTTAATATTATAAGTTTTCAGTTCATTTAAATGAATATCTAGGGTACAATAAAATAAAATTTATATATATATATATATATATATATATATGGCATGCTATGGTTATGACGATGGTTTGTTCTATGAAAAAGAAACTGCTAAACTTTTCAAAGTATTATTCTGCATGGACACAGCAACAATTGAGAACTCCTGATCATTCAAATTCTCAGCAACATTTGGTGGTATCAAAGTACTACATATTAGCCATTCCCATTAATATGTAGGGATATCACATTTTAGTTTTAATTTCAGTTCTCTGATAACCTGCTATTGAACACCTTTTTATATATTTATCTTCCTTGTGTATAATTTCTTTGTTAAGGCCTAGTTTTTAATTCAGTTGTTTAAGTCTTGTTTTTTAATTCTTAGGATATCTTTTTTTTTTGGGGGGGGGGGCCTGAACTCTGGGCCTGGGTGCCGTCCCTTAGCTCTTCAGCTCAAGGCTAGCACTCTACCATTGAGCCATAGCGCCACTTCCGGCTTTTTTCATTTTGCTTATGTGGTGCTAAGGAATCGAACCCAGGGCCTCAGGCATGCAAGGCAAGCGCTCTACCACTGAGCCATCTTCCCAGCCCTCTTAGGATATCTTAATAGTTCTTTATCTGAAATATGTTCTATAAATATTTTCTCCCAGATGGTGACTTTCGTTTACTTCTTTTCTTTTATTTTTTTCTGCCAGTTCTGAAGCTTGAACTCAAGATGTGAATGCTGTACCTGATCTGTATTCTTACTAGTGTTCTACCACTTGAGCCACAGCTCCACTTTTGGCTTTTTGTGGTTAATTGGACAAAAGAGTCTCACACAGGTCTTTCTGTTCCAGTTAGCTTCAGACCCAGTCCTTGGATCTCAGCCTCTGAGTAGCTAGGATTTCAGGTGTGAGCACCAATACCCAACTTTGTTTAGCTTCTTTTCCCAGTTTTCCTAGTATAAAACCTTTTAATTTTTGTGAAGTTCAACTTTCATGAATTATGATCTCAGTTATTCCTCTGAAAACTTATTTCCAACTCTGTTTACAGTGAATTTTTCCTGTATTATTTTCTACAAGTTTCACTGTTTGGTATTTTACATTTAGGTCTGTGATCTGTTTTGAGTTGTTAGTGAAAACTACAAGATCAGTGTCTTTTTTTGTTTAAGATGTCAAGACTTAGTAATTTTGTTGGAAATATTTCTCTATTGCAATACCTCTGTAGTATCTAAGATCAAGAACTTATTTTTTCTTTTATAGTATTAACCATTCTCTCTGAATAATTAAGTTTACCGTAACTTCAAGAGTTATCAGTGTTCTACCAACTATTCTACTTCTTTTCCTTTACTGTATAAAACCCATTATTTGCTGATATCAATCAATAACTTTCTGAGATTTTTATTGGGATTATATATATATTGTGATTATATATATATTGGGTCTGAAGACTACTCTGGAAAGAATAGACATCTTAACAATATTGCCTTCAAAAGATTAATGTATCATTTTCCCATTTGGTTCATCTTTAATTTTTTATATCAGATTTGTGACTTTCTTCACCCAGATATTATATATTGTTAGTTATGTATCTCAGTATTTCAATGTTAAACTTAAATCCTGCAATTTTAATGTAATTGCTTTTTTATTTCCAGGAGTTTTATTATTAGTGTCGTTGATGGCAATAATGATGATAACTTTTCCTACATAATCATATTATCTGTAAAGATTAATGTTCATTTTTTCCATTCCAATGTGAATATCTTTACTTTTTGTGTTTTATTGCATTATCCAGGATTTCCAGCACAGTGTTGGGTACACATCTCAGGGATGTGAAATTCTTTGTTTCCAATCTTAGCTGAAAAACCTGTGTTTATACCATTAAGGAAAATGTTAGGTATAGATTTTCAGATGTTCTTCATTAAGCTGAGAATACTCTCTAGATGAAAACTTCATTGAGAATTACCACAAATGGAGGTTAAGTTTTGTTAAAGGATCATTTGGCATCTATGAACAACATATTATTTTCTATATGATACATTACAATAATTGACAGTTGTTGAACCACCCTTACATACTTGTAATAAATCACAGGTTGCTTTGTACAGTACTTCTTTTTTTTTTTTTTTTTGTCAGTCGTGGGGCCTGAACTCTGGGCCTGGGCACTGTCCCTCAGCTCTTCAGCTCAAGGCTAGCACTCTACCACTTGAGCCACACACCACTTCTGGCTTTTTCTGCTTATGTGGTGCTGAGGAATCGAACCCAGGGTCTCATGCATACAAGGCAAGCACTCTACCACTGAGCCACCTTCCCAGGCCTGTACAGTACTTCTTATACATTTAGAACAGTTAATGGTAATGGGAGTTAGTAGTTTATTATTTATTATCTTTCCTTGGTCTGACTATGATAATAAAGACCCTACAGAGAATTAGGGTTTTTTTTGCTATTGTTGTTTTTATTATTGTTGTTGTTCCAAAGTAATTGTAGATATTGATAAAATTTTCATAGTAAATGTCTGATAAAATTTAATAATGTAATCATCTGCATCTAATGCTTTGTGTTTTGGGAAAATTATTAATTATAGATTGAATTTCATGCAGAGACAGTGTCCTAATAAGATTTCCTTGCTCTTGTGTGGTACATTTTATCTTTCCAATAATTAGTTTCATCTACATTATTAAGTTTATGGGCATAGAAATTTTTTTGGTATGATTTTTTTTTTGGTACTGAGGATTGAATCCAGAACATTGCACTTCTTAGGCAAGCACTTTGCCACCAAGCTATATCCCAGCCACCATAGAATTATTTATACTATTTACCATCTTTTATGTCTTCTGAATAAGTAATGGTGAACTTTTATTTCTGATGTTAATAATTCACTATTTTTTATTTATTCTGGTCAGAGTTTTATCAATTTTATTGGCATTTTTTCAAGAACCAGGTTTTGGTTTCATTGATTTTTCCTCATTATTTTTTTCTCATTTTATGCCTTTTGCAAGCTATTTCCTTAGAAAAACCATCACTACCAATACCATCTCCTCATGTTTTATCCCTTTAGTTTGATATCTGACTTCAACAAAGTAAAATAACAATAAATTTCAGTGTTTGGGGATGTAAACAAACTTGATGTTGAGATATCAACAGAAATATAAAAAAATGAAAAAATATTTTAATTTTGTGTGTTGAGTTATATATAACATAGTATATTCATGATTTTAAGATCAGGAAATAATAATTATATGTATTCATGGATATTAAAATTAAATTTTGTTTTATCTCTTATTTTATGTATTTATATTGTTTAATTCACTCTGAGTTATATGAATCTAATTTTTCTGGAAAAAAAGCCTCACAAATGTGTAGAATGTTTCCTCAATTACAAAATACAGGACTTGAAAAAGAAAATCCTTATGACCCTCTGTTCAGAAATGACCTAGGCCTCTTTCCAAACTGATACCTTAGGTTTCTAGAAATTCTTCATGCTTGCAGGATTTGGTAACGGATTCATGGAGGATTGTTTTATATCCAATCTGACTCCACAAATAAGTTTTTTAAAACAATAATATTTATATCTGGCTTCTGTCTGACTATGAACATACTTTTAGAATTAGATTCCAGGCTACTGATGGTTGTTAGATGCAATATTGTTTGTATGAAATAATTTTATTTTAAGGAACTTGTGAGATTACATATAGTTTGCATAAGCTTTTCTTATAATTGAATTTCTTTTTCTTTGTGTGTTTTCATTTTGTCTAGTGGACATCTTAAGAAACCAGGAAAAGAAAATCATGTTCCAGACCAAAATCTGTGAATTTTCAACATCAAGCACAGCGTATCATGATTTGATTTCATTTGAAAGATAAAGGCAGCCCCAGGCCATTGCACCAAAATAAACATGCATTTAACATCCAAAGGGCCAGTTTAATTTTTATCACCTAATATAAATCACTACTGTTTATCTTCTGTGGTAGATTTGAGATGACTTTCTTTTCAATAAGAATTGAGCATAGGCTTTTGGAAATAACAAGCTCTCTCACTTCTACTGATCAATAATCTTATATACATGACACAAGGTACAGAAAACTAAGGGAATCACAGCAACAGCAGGGCAAAGGTTGAACCAATGCAACATTGACATTCACTTAACACTATGTTGGATATGAACCTTACAACTTTGGGGGGAGGGGAATAGGGACGGGTAAGAGGGAGAAAATGAGGATTGGGGTAACTGTTTAAAAACAAATATGCTCTTATCTTATGTAACTTTAACCCCCGCCTATCACCTGTTCAGTAAAGATGAAGAAAACAATGAGCTTATGATACATTTGTACATTTAAATTTGACTTATTTACATATTGAAATGTATGCTTAATAACAGAAATAGACTAAAGATATAAAGATATATTCTTCATTTATAATTACAGTACTATCTATAATTATAGTCCTCTGGCCTTGTGTGTCAAGATCCAGAGCTCTTAATGGTTGAACATCTGTTCAACCTGTGAAAGCTCAGTGGCCAGTGCTCAGTCTCTTGTCTTGCCCCTTGACTTCTCTACATTTTTACAATCCCTGGGTTTCTCCACTGCCTCTATTCCCTATGTCTTCCACCAGCTGTTTTCTGGATCTCTTCAGTTATCAGTCCTGTAAGGGTTTGCTGCTATTACTGCCATTGTTGCTGCTGCTGTTTCTGCTAATCTACTGTCTTCATGTTACCAGCACAGTCTGCTCTGTTTATGATAAGGATTGAAATCAGGCAAAGAAAATACAAGGAAATTTTAATTGGACCTAAGTTACACCAAGGCTGGTAGCAGGAGGCTGGTTATTTAGCCAGGAGGGAATGCCTTGCCTGGTATGCAAATAGAGTGATTGCCACTCAGCATTCACACTGCACAACTTCTAGTGTCACCAATTACATGAGTACTTGTAAAGACCAAAATCAAAGACTTTGCCTGGAGCTAATAATCACAAGCCTGCTCCTGTGTCACAGCAGAAAATGCTGTGAAAATAGCTCCAAAGTGAGTAAGAGGTATCCAGAAACAACTTGAAGTTTTTTCGAAAGCAAAAGGTACTCCTTCAAACTGGAGGGAAGATACATTTAAAAAAAAAATCAGCAAATAAAGGCAAAGTAAATTTATCATGAGCAGATCTGGAGGAGGAAGATCTACAAGTAAAGAATGGCATTGCTGCTGGTCATCCAGGGCTCACACCTGGAACCCCAACTACTCAGGAGGCTGAAATCAGATCTTGGTTGAAAGTCATCAGGGGCAGGAAAGTCTGTGAACTTCTCACTAAACTACCAAAAAAGCCAGAAAGAGAATTGTGGCTAGAGCGCTAGACTTGAGCAAAAGAAGCTCAAGGACAGTGCCCAGGCCCTAAGTTTAAGATATGTGTAAAACTATGTAGATATAAAGCAGATATATGTAAAATAGCGAGTAGTTCTGGAAATAGTTATACATATAAACGTATTTTTCATTCTTTTTGTCTTAATTTCTTTTAGGCAAAATTAATGTAGCGTGGAATTAAAGCATAATATCTGAGTGCGGAAAGGCAGTGTAGTTACTGAAAGGTTCTTACATTTTATATGAAACTATACCAACAATCTACTTAAAAAATGCCTTTAAAATAGGCAAAAGGATTTCAACATGCCAATTTATGAATCCAATGCATTCTGATCAATGTCACAATAACTTTGTATTGTGAGCAGTTTCCCTGCTTCAAACTCTCAAGCAACCCGGTGTCTCAACGATATGTACCTATCTATTGTACTTAAATAGCCCGGGAGCCACGAGTTTTTGTACTTTGCCCCCAGCTCCACTGCGAAAGGCACACAGGGGGCCGTCATCAACTCGTAGCACCCGATCCATTTCGGCTTTTTAATTGCTCAGAGGCTCCAGTGCCAGCTCTCCAGGGGCATCACCATCCCTCATTTACGTATACAAGGCAGGCTAAGGAGAGCAGGCAGAGAGCTGTGACGCCCACAGCCATAGCTAAGCCTTCTCTTGTCCCTTCCTGGAGGTAGCCTTTTCCTGACACCTAAATTTGGCGGTCAGGGTATTGAGCAAACTGGGCGGGGCGGGGCCTGGCTCGATCCCTAGGCTTAGGAGGCGGAGTCAAGCTGTAGCGGGAGAGGTGGAGCCAGCAGTGGGGACGAATGAGATGGGTGGGGCGGAGCCTTGGGTGCCAGCCGGGGCGTGGGGCGCCAGAGGATTGGGGCGTTACCGTGGGGGGTGTGGCATAGCCGCAAAGGGGTGGGGCGTTGCCATCGAGGGGGTGGGGGTGGGGTGTCGCGAAGGGGGCGAGGCCTAATGCAGAGGCCCAGGCAGGGTGGGGGCGGGACAAGCGCCCAGACCTGCGTCAAGTGTCACCTAACGCCGTGAGCGTCGCCCGGCCTGGGCGGGCGGGGTCGGGGACCCCAGGTGCGGTCCCCATGGGGATGTGTTTTCCCTGCCCCGGGGAGTCCGCGCCTCCCTCCCCGAATCTGGTGAGTACGGCTGCGCCCGGCTCGCTCGCTCGCTCACCTGCTCCGCGGCGGGGCCCGCCGGGAGGCCCGGGCGGCGCGCGGCGGGCCGGGGCGGCCGTTGGACCGGGTGGAGGAGAGCGGAGACGCCCGGTGCGGACCTCAGGGTTCAGGACCCCCCGAGGACCTGCATCTGGGACCCTCGGGGACCGGCCGGCGTCGTGGCCATCCCACTAACCTGACCGGCGGGGAGGGGACAAAGAAAGGAAAGACAAAAGCTACGCCCTCGGTGGGCCCTCGCGGTGTTGGGGCGCTTCCCGCCCCCCTTTCGCTGACTTTGGTTCGATGAAGTCTGCAGGACGGGGTAGCAGCAGGGTGTGGGCGCCCCGGATGGGCTCTTAGGGGGGCCCCTGGGAAAATGTTCCCCTTGAAACGGAAAGTGCCCTGCGAGGTGTGCGTTTGTTTCCCTGAGTCTCTACCAGCTCTCTCGAGAAGGTGATGGTGGAAATCGCCTGCGCCCTGTTGGAAACCCAACGATTTCCATTTACTATGTATCTCAATACTTAAAAAGAAGTGCAGAGTGAGGCCCAGAAGGTAAAATGTATCAGGTGGCTTTAGTTAACGAAAATAGGGAGCACCCAGTTAGATCTGAAATCCAGATAAACAAGAGAATACGTTTTTGAAGATGAGTTTCTACCACTGCAACCTTTTATCCACGTTTTACCCCAAAACAGAGCTTGATTATCTGAAATGCGGATTAAAACTAGGTGACCTGTAGTATAGTTATACTTTTGTAGCATTCTATTAAAGCAAGGAGACTGGGTTTCTGCCTTCCCCTAGATAATTGGCCCTTGATTTCCCCCCTGATGGTTTCCCTAGATGGTTTACTTTTATTTAACCATTCTATGAGGTTTAAGTGTCCTCACCTGGTTTGCTTATGTGTAACACTTTGGTTAGGTTTGATGCCCCACACCTTATGTGGTTTGGGGCTATATAAACTTTGTCCTAGTTGCATTCGAGGCTGCTGGTCTTTGAGATCAGAGTCTACCAGCAGTACTTTGGTTCTCCAATAAAGACTCATAATTTGGCCTCTTAAGTGGTGGCTTCTCTGTTTCTCACAACTGAGTCTCCTTACAGCACTATTAACAATATATTTACATTCATATTCCTTAGGAAAGTAAAAACCCCAAGTTCGTCTCATTTATACTATCATCTAGTTAAAAATTAGTTAAAGAAATAAGATACTTGAGGAAATACATTAATTCTTCAGCCATGAGATTATAGGGGTTTAAAAACTCATTCATTTCGGGGCTGGGAAGGGGGCTCAGTGGTAGAGTGCTTGCCTTGCATGGATGAGGGCTCTGGGTTCAATTCCTCAGCACCACATAAGCAGAAAAAAGAAAGCCAGAAGTGGCGCTGTGGCTCAAGTGGTAGAGTGCTAGCCTTGAGCTGAAGAGCTAAGGGACAGAGTTGAGCCCCCATGACCAGACCGCCCTCCCCCCACAAAAAAAAAAAAAAACCTCATTCAACCCATTAGCTACTGCTGTCACATTTTTTTTTTTCTTTGTGTGAACAAGGACTTGAACTCAAGGTCTGGGTGGTGTTCCTTAACTTTTTCACTCAATTTTTTCACTTGATCCACAACTCCACTTCTGTCGATAGGCTGGTTAAATGGGGGTAGAGTCTCACCAGACTTTCCTGTCCAGGCTGGCTTTTCAGGAAGATCCTCAGATCTCAGCTTCTTGAGTAGCTAGGGCTACAGGTGTGAGCCATTATAGCCTAACCACTGTTACGTCTAAATGATGTTAATTTTGTTTGTTTTGCTGTTGGGAAGATGCCATTCTGTCAGCACTGGTTAGTTTACACTACCCATGCTTCTTTTGAGAACCATGCGACTCAGAACCACGGAGCTCAACGCTGGAACCCAATGAAGCTTTTCCTGATCACCCTAGATCTATATATTCTATCTATCTATACTCTCCATCCAACCACCGATAACACCTCTATTACACTCTTGTATTTCCCAAAACAACCACGACCATCTGAAACTTACCTTGATTATATTTATTTCTGTGACCTCTTTGGAGTTTCAGCTTCATATGCATGGAAATCTGTATGTTTTTACACTGCTTGTGTTCCATTGGCAAACTGGTGCTGAGTAATTTGTCCAGTGGATTGTGTGTATTGTAGTATGAAAACAAAGAATTTACTGCCACCACTTTGTAAGAAAATGCTATTGATTTAATATATTTAGTAATTCTATAATTAAGCAGTCAGTATATGGCATTAAAAAAAAATACTATTTGCTGACATGGAGGACTACCTCTCATAAATGTACTTGGCCTCTGAAAATGCCTGCCTATTTTCAATCTCCTTTTAAGCCGGCAGTACCCAGCCATGTTATTTCCTTCCTTGTAATTTTAACCACAGCTTACCTTACTATTGCCCAAACTGTTAAGCTCTTATAAAGAAAGAATAAAAGAAAAAAAATTATACAAGTTATCCTAGTCAGATTTATTTTAGCATATGTGATTTTGAAGATCTAGTAACCATAAGAGTGAAATTCAGAAAACAAATTTAGTGTATAGTGTATTTTATAAATGCAATGGTGGAAATGTTTGTAGTTGTTTTGTTTGGGTGAAGGGTGAGGCCCTTGCTTTGTCTCTCAGACTGGTTCAGAACTCCTGGCCTTGAAGGAACCTCCCCCATCAGCTTTCCTGGTAGTGAAGCTTGAACTCAGGGCCTGGGTCCTGCCCCTTAACTTTTTGCTCAGGTTGGCACTCCCCCACTTAAGCTATATCTCTACTTTTCCAGCTTTTAATAGTTAATTGGAGATAGTTTCATGAAATTTCCTGTCATGGTTGTCATTAAACCATGGCCCTTGCTCAGTCTCCTGAGCAGCTAAGTTTACAGGCATGATCCACTGGCTCGTGGAACTAAATTTTTTTTCATAGATTTTCCATAAAACACACATCTATAATTTACATATGATTCTGTTTGGTTTTATCTTGAAACATTTTTTACCCATTTTCTTTAGGAAGAGAAAAGAGCAAAGCTTGCAGAGGCTGCAGAGAGAAGACAGAAGGAGGTAAGATTAGCCGTAAAATTATGCCTGCTTAGATAAATAAGTGTGCACTCTATTTCTACAAATGTCCAATGCTAGTAGTATTCTGTAATGTAAATGATATCCAAAATAATTATAATTAAAGAAAACTTTTCAAAAGGATTTCTTTTTTCCATAAACCACATGCAGATACACCATTTTACTGTGTGAAAACTAGCTTAGAGATGTGTTCTTCAACTTGAGATGACCCTGAATGAATTTTCTTCCTTGGGATAAAATAAACGCCCTCACCCTGTAAAACAATGACAAATGTGAAATAAGCTTAAGGGAAAAAAATAGAATTCTATCCTGGCAAAGTATCCAATGAAGACATGACAGTTTATTTTATCAAAAGTTACTGTACTTTTTGTTTGCAAAGGTAAACCAATTTCTCTCCACCAAAGAAAAGCAAAAGCTAACACCTTTTGAACACCAGACACCAACTTTTGTTGTTTTTATTTTCCATCCCCTTATCAAATCTAAAGGCTGCATCTCGGGGAATTCAAGATGTTCAATCTGTGGAAGAAAAGAGAAAGAAAAAAGAAAAAATAGAAAAACAGATGGCCACATCTGGGCCCCCACCAGCAGGTGGACTTAGAGTAAGTATTAATATTGACATGAGCTTCAACTTCCTGGGTATTTCTGAAAAGTTGTATAGTGATCCACTCAATAATTTTCCCTGGCAGTGTATTATGAGAAAATGTTGAAGTAATTTAAAAACATAGTTTGTATACATTATTTATTTTAGTATTCATTGAAATATTTTTACTTCTTTATTCCAAAGTCAAGTGTGTCAATTTTTTCCCCTAATTTTCTTAACCCTGCATCTTAGTACTTTCATACTTTAATGCTCATCTTACATGGAATCAAAATTTCAAGCAATAGAGAGAAGTGTAAAGAATATAAGAATCAATTTTAATTTTGGAAGACATCATTTCTACCCCCTATTTACACATTAGTCATTAAATTGGATTGCCCTAAAAATTCCATATAATAGTCTGAATATTTTTATGCTGTGTTTTGCAATATTTGATCTTCTGTTGTCACCTATTATTAGGATTAAATGTCAGATTGTATGTATAGTTGTGAATATGACATGTCCTACTTATTTGTCACAGTACTAGACCATGGGTCAATACTGTTAATCAAGGTCATTGAACTCTAGACTCTATAGTTTAGCAGAGTTTTAATTTTACATGGTATAGTTGAGGAAAATGGTAGTCCAGGCATTAAGATTGTATTTATGGGGGCTGGGAAGGTGGCTCAGTGGTAGAGCGCTTGCCTTACATGCGTGAGGCCCTGGGTTCGATTCCTCAGCACCACATAAGCAAAAAGAAAAAAGCCGGAAGTGGCCCTGTGGCTCAAGGGCTAGAGAGCTAGCCTTGAGCTGAAATGCTGAGGGACAGCACCCAGGCCTAGAGTTCAGGCCCCACGACCGGACCCCAAAAAAAAAAAAAGATTGTATTTATGGTCCATGTACAAAGAAAATATTTTCTAATGTGTGTTGGCCATAAATTACAGCCAGTAGCCTCGGTAGATCCTGGGCAAAGCTAATTCTGGATCAGGACCATTAAATAGAGATGACCACGGTCCGTGTTACATTTAATTTCAATTAAATTGAAAATAAGCCATTTTTCTTTAAGGTAAGCTTTTAACAGTGTAAAATAATTGACAGCAATACTGAGGCTTATGTGACTATTTGGCTTAGATTCTTTTCTTCCATAAAACAAAAAATCCATATAGATTGAAAAGGAATTAGGCCTCCTGCTACTTCTAGTCCTCTCAAAATGGCTCAGAATTTCTTCCAATGTTAAATATAGCTTGATTTTTTTCCCTCTGACTCCTTTAGTGAAAAATGAACCCCCTCGCCAGCAAGGTGGAAGGTCACAGGAGGGTTTTTCTCACAGAGTGCCACACTGCCGCCCACCATGAGTCATTCTCACCTCTCCCACAGCACACTGGCTTCACAGGGGCAAGATCCTTTCCCTTTGAACACCTGCCAGTCCATTGGAGCATAAGGTTCCGGAGAAGTGTTTTGGAGGCTCAGAGATAACAGAACATTTTAGTCCTCAAATCTCTTGGCCTATGGTCCTGGAGTATTGCTCTATGGCTTATTCAACAAGCCTGGAGTATCCCACAGATTAGCATGATTCTTGTAATGAGGAAACACATCCTTTCCCTATCTTCATACCTTCCTCATATCCATCTGCTCTCAAAGGTTCTCAGGATAGCTGGCATAGGTGCTGCTCACTGCTTCTGGCAAGGAATCTTAGCTGAAGAAATCCTGCAATCTCCACATCAGGATGCAAAGAATCCTGTCCTGTAGGACAAGAGTAGTGGAGACTATCTCTAATGCAGTTGTCCTCCGCCCTGGCTGCATATCAGTCTCAAGGGAAAGGTTCTCAAAAGAGTGATTGGACCTTATCTACAATCAAGGGCCTGAGAGTAGAGCTAATCAGAATTTTTAAGCTTTTTTAGGCAGTACCCTATGTATACTATGTGTCATATATCCACTGATCTGTCCAGAGATTGTCTTTTCTATCTTCATACCATCATCTTATTTCCCATTAACTGTAATGTAACAATTTATTATTAGCTGCTCTTCACAAAATGTTTTGCGTCTCTGTGACCTATATTCTTTTCCATTGGAATAACGTTAGGTGCTTTTAAGTAAAAACTTACTTTTGCCCCTGTATTTTTGTCTTTCCTTAGTGGACAGTTTCGTGAAGCATAACATGAATGGAAGAGTATTCTGCCAATAACTGTTCTACACCTGCAATCAGACAGACTTGCTCAATTTAACTTCCTCTCGTAGACATGAACAGCCAAACTTTGTGTTATTAGTGCCTGTAAGTGCAGTGCTAAATCCATATGGAAAATAATGGTAAAAATTTTGATTTTTCAAACTTAGAAAATGGGCAGACCCCTCATTAAATTTTTATTTTGCTGCACTTGCTGCTTTTCTTCAGGAAGTAAGTAATTTGCCATTTAAAAAAAAAACATGGGTCTAAATACTAAAAATGACATAAAAATGCAGCATATATCTCAAATACTTAAATGATCAGTTATATTTCCCTTCTTTATAAAACGATCTAGCTACTTAAACTTGTGCTGAGTATCCTGTCTCTTTATTTCACTATATGTAGATGTTTGTTTAAACTTACAGATTGAGTGCCTTTAAACTGATAACCAGGGAAAATCTTATAATGTTATTTGAAGGGCTCATGTGCAGGAACACTATGAATTTTTATAACTTACTAAGGAATGAATATTCATAGGCAAATGCTGAATCTCTTCTAATTTATTTTCTACTTCAGTAGCTTATTAAATTAACATACTGTGCTTTACATTATAATAAGGCTTTTCTTTGCTTGTTTAAAATTATATATTACTTGTATCATCAAAGATTACTACTGTTAATATCAGACTCCGCTTCATACAGATCTATGCTATAATTGAATGAAGTTAACCAACCTGGATTAATTATAAGGAGTGGTAATATACTTATCCAAATTTTATAAACATTTTTACCCTTTTTTATTTGTCAAAGAATAATTATAAAGTTTATGTTGATGTGAAGCTGCTAATGTAGTTATGAATGTAAGAAAAAGAAATGTATATTTAAAATGTCTGCTTTAAACATAACCTATTAGGGGATTCTATATGATGTACTCATAAAAGCTTTATAGACTTAAATGTATTAGGAATGTGAGATTTATGTCATTTGTTCTTTTATTTTTCTTTTTAATGCATAATAAACTAAGATAGAAGAAATACTATTATGGATTTTTGGATGCTAAGTCTTTAGAATGGCAAGCACTACAAACTTTATGTAGATATGAAGTGTCAATAGGGATGTAAATAAAATACAACAGTCACTTGACTTAGATAAAGGTAACTGAGCCACTATCTCACTTACCCTCTTACAGGCTTGTGTTTTATAGAAGTGTATTATACAGTACACTGGCCTTATTTAAAGATTGATCGCAGGTAGTTTTGACCAGGAAGAGTTACAAAAAATCATTGTTCATGCATTACATGGTCCAAGTAAAGTGGAACAATTCACACTCAATCCTGTGGTTTGGACAGTTGTGTATAAATTCCATTTCATCCTGAGCATTTGTGGTGTAACCTGAATGGTGGTCTCCTGGGAACTGTATACACTTGGATACCAATGATCTACTATACAAGTCCTTCTTAAAGGGTTTGAATTCTAGAGCTAGTATGTAGCTCAGTAGCAAAGCACTTACTGAGCAAGTGTAGTATTCTGGGTTCATCCCCAGTACCAAAAAAGAAAAGACAAAATAAAAAAGAGTTTGACTTCTAAACTAGGTCTATTGACTCTTCATGGACATCCTTTCTATTATATGAAATGTTCTATAAATATTTAGGAAAGAAACATATTTGGACAGGGTATGTTTTCTTCATTTAGAGGATTCGTGATATTTTTGTTTGTGAAAGAGAATGAATCATTGAATTACATTACATAAGTAATTTTTTACTTCATTAAGAAGATAATTTTTTCAACACCAAAAAATGACCATTAATAACTAATGTAAATATAGAACCAGAACATATCATCTGTAATTCCCTTGGTATAGCACAAACTATTCAATCTTTCCTGTGTCATAAGGTATTTGCACTTCTATTGTCTGCACAGAAGGCCTCTTCCATGGGATAATGTTCTCTTTCTAATGCTTAATTATCTACTGTAGAGGTATGAATAATGGGCATATATATTGCTTTCTGGGAGAAGGGGGACATGCTTTTCTGCCAGCTGTGGCCTGCCTCTGTGGGTGGCATCAGATTTCCCCAGACCATATTGTGACAGACACTAAGGGAGTGACTTTCAGATCCTAACATTTTTAGAAAAAGAAAGGGAAGAGGGGGAACCAGATGCTTGATGGAAAACTAATTAATTCATTTTAGAATTAGAATTAAACACACACATATCTCTCTAGATGTTTCTTTCAGAAAATTATAAAGCAGTTCCTATGCAAAATTTAAAAGGAAGTGAATTTTCCATAGTTTATATTTGAAATAACAGAATGGCACAATCCTTAATATCACATCTAACCCCCTCCCATCCAAATTCCTGAAATAGAACTGATGCAGTGAGATGCATAGGTGTAACTACTGTGAAAATGTGAAATGTTTACCCCATACTTCCTTAATTCTAATAATCAGATTATTAATATGGCTGATTGTTGAATGATATATAATATCCAGTTCTTTTGTAACATGTTGAATGTTTTTAAAACATCTACACATGATTCTGTTTGACTAATTGTATATGGGAATGTGATTTAGTAATTTTCCCACATGTGATTTTGCTATGAATATACACTTCCCCTTATTAAAAATGGCTTTGTCATCTTTGTTTGACAAAAAGGTATCTTTAGTATCTTAATTAATTAAGACTTGGGCTGCTGTTTAGGAAGCCTTTCATCTCTTTTGGATTAGTCTATTGGGATGATTATGCAGTATCTAGATTTGTAGATAAGGAAAGGAGAAACTAAATCATTAGTCTTCTGTTTTGTGTTTTTAATAGAAATACTACTGGAATAAAAATATCATTGATATTCATGAGAATTTGCATAAGCTTTGATCTAAAACTTTGACTTGTTTATTTTCACTGATGAAAATGCTGATCCTTAGAAGATGAAAGTATATCTTGTCAGTCTTGAATAATTTCTGAATACATATATCAGCAAGAGATAAAAATACCTGTGAATCTATATTTAAAGAAATATTTATCTAGCATCTTTTTCATGAAAGTATCTGCAATTCTCTTAGATACTATACATGCTCTAAGGCTTGTTATCTAAGCTGATTCTGCTACAATAATGAGACTCTATTCTTTGCTTTTCTAGAAAACCACTGATAAAAGGTATTTGTGTGTATAGCAAGTTTGAAGTTTTGTTTTTACGTAGAAATGTGTAACACAATAACTTGGACACTAAATTTCTAATAGGACATTTTATTATGTTGCTCTCCCTCATCTAGGTACATTTGATTTAGTAAATATTGCTTCATAATATTATAGTGTCGTTTTTGGGTGTTGTTTTAGTATAATGCACCTTGTTTTCACTTTTAAAAATTATTACTTGAATCAAGGGTTTCAAATTTGGCAAGTCAGATTATGAGCATAATGCATTTTGAGCAGTGTCATCCTTTTATCATTCTCCCCCATCTCTCCCAACCCCACCCATATCCTAAATTACATGATTAGGAAAGGCCTTTCTAAGGGCTCACAGATGGATATTTGGATATTGACGTCAGTATCCATCTATAGTCCAGTTTCTTTATCTTTGCCTAAACTTAGCCTGGACAGAACTTTCTGTGCAGGCCATACAGAACTAGATGGTGATACTGGATGGTATAGTGACACTCGTGACCTGATCTAGCTCTTGATGCTGCACCTTCAGATATTTCATGTGGCCCTCACTTATGTGGGGGAAAAGGGGTTGCAGTGTGGGAAACATCCTTTCAAGAGTACCAAATGTTCCAGGAACAAGTGGCTCATGCCTGTAATCCTAGCTACTCAAGGAAGCTGAGATCTAAAGATCTCAAAGCCAACATGGGCAACAAAATCCATGAGATATTTTTTTTTGGGGGGGGTCCGGTTGTGGGGCCTGAACTCATGGCCTGGGCACTGTCCCTTAGCTTTTCAGCTCAAGGCTAGCGCTCTACCACTTGAGCCACAGCGCCACTTCTGGCTTTTTTCTTTTTGCTTATGTGGTGCTGAGGAATCAAACCCAAGGCCTCTTGCATGCAAGGCAAGCTCTACCACTGAGCCACCTTCCCAGCCCCAATCTGAGATTTTTATCTCCAGTTAACCACTAGAATGTCAGAAGTGGGTGCTGTGGCTTGAGTGGTATAGTGCCAGCCTTGAGGGAAAAAACTAATAATTCCTGAGAACCACAGGGATGACCCTTTTGCTTTTATTTCCTGGAGATATTATCACCTACTGAAGGACAACAAGCTTCCTGAAGATTGTATTACCTACTGTAGGACAACAAGCCATGTGGCTTCACTGATGTTGATAGAAGGAATGTTTTCTATCAGACTGCCCAGAGAAAATGTCAGTTAGACAATGCAAAATGGGGAAATGGGGATGAGATTGTAGCTCAGTGGTAGAGAACACGCTGAGCATGTACAGGAAACATGGGATCCTCAGCACCCAAAAAAAAAAAGGTAACAATAAAACAATCAAACCTCGAAGCAAAACATAAAAATCAACAAAGACAAAAATCTATGTATGCTAGGAAGAAAAGTACACCTGTATTTGTATTCTTCAAAGCAATCTTTCTGTTCCAAGCATATTTTGTGTCTCTTAAGAAGGCACCCTAAGGCTGTCATTACTGCTATTACTTGAATTTTAGCATAGGCCAGGCAAAAGCACAGAGATGTCAGATGATTCACCCTGTGAATCTTGGCCAGTAGTGGGAGAACAGGGATTTGGACAGTGTCCCTTAGCTTTTTCAATGACCCTGTCATTTTAAGAATTAAATATGCATAAATTCTTCGGACAGAGTATGCTTTGTTACATCCTGAATTTTGTAGTAGGTCTATTACATAACACTTGGGCTCAATTTTAACTTCTGAGCTAATATGGATTTTTAAGGGAATATGTCTTGTGAGTTAATATGGATTTTGAAGGAATATGAATTATTTTTTTGCTAGTGACAGTGCCCAGATCTTAGGAGACAGACATTTTTACAATTTCTTCTTTGCTGTGTTCTACTCTGATAGAGGTTTCTGCACATTCTTGCATTAATCCTCTTGGCTATTACAAAACTCTCCTGTGGCTTGACATCCAAGAGAGCTTTCTTAATAGAATGGAAATTTCTGAGGAATCCAAAATGAATACCTCTTAGAGTTTCAGAAATCATTCATTAGGTGTTAAGGATCTAAGCGCCTTTGTCAATGATAGAGATTGTATGGGGCTTTCTGCCTCCCACCCCAGAAGAAACTAAATGAATATGATAACAGTAGACTACATACCAGACTATCTGCTCAGGATTGAGATCACTGTGGACCATGGCCTTTCCACTGTGTATTAAATTGAACTTATGTTTTGGAGACTCATGTTCTCAAATAGGTTTTTGGACTTTATAGATTTTTAATTCTTTATTCATTTGTTTAGAAACCATTATCCTTTTTTAGATCTTAACTCTTATTGAAAATAAGTTGATGCTAGCTCACCCCAGTCTATTGCCTAGTCCATTTTTACCCCGAAGTTACTGAGTAAAATGCCTATCTGCATTTAGTTATTTCTTTATGAATACAGTCCCATTTTTTGACATCCTTTTTCAGTGCTGGGCTTCAATTCTGACTTCATTCTCAATAACACTGAAAGAACCAATTTAGATATGGTATAGCTGTAGTAACTTCTCCCCCTCCACAGGGAGTTATGTCCTAATCTCAGGATCCTTGAAGGAACTGTTTTCACCAGAAGGAATTTAGAAATGAGATCCAGTTCATTTCCTTAAATGGGAGTTATTTAGGTGAACCAACTCTAATCACATGGATCCTCAAAGCTGACGATCTTTCTAACCTGTACTCAGAAGAAAGAGATGAAGAAAGAAGGGTCAAAAATAGGCTATGTTCTAGTTTTTAAAGTAGAAGAGGCCATGCAAAGAGTGCAGGTCAATTCTGAAAGTTACAAAAAGCAAGAAAATGGATTCTCTCCTCCAATGTTCAGAAGGCAACATGACCCCAGTGATACTGATTTTAGGCCAGTGAGCGCATGTTGAATTTATGAGAGGAGGTTGGGATATTAAGATTGTGGTTCAAAGCCAGTCAAGGCAAGAAACTCTGTGAGACTCACATTTCCAATAAACTACAAAGAAAAATCCAGAAATGGTGCTGTGGTTCAAGTGATGGAACATTAGCCTTAAGCAAAAGAAGCTCAGGGACAGCACCGAGCCGAGTTCAAGTCCCAGCAAAAAAAAAAAAAAAGATTGATATTTTTAGATACTGTTTTTGTTAAGCTACCAATATATTTGAACTGTGAAATTTAGCTTTCATTAGTAAAGACATGAATATGTTTATGGAAAATGTAAGTACAGGAGGAAATTTTGACAGAAAAGTGACCATTAATAATATAGAGAAATGTAGTATCAATATTAGTTTAATAATGTAAGCCTTAGTCAGTACTATATCCCAAAAAGTATTAGTTGAGGGTGTTAATACACACTTGTAATCCAAACACTCAGAAAACTGAGGCCATAGAATCATGAGTCTCAAGCAAGTCCAGGCTACATAATGAGACCCTGACACAAAACAAAAAAGGTGTTCATACTATTGATTGCACTAAAGTGATTTTATCTCTTATAAACATCTTATATTACTGTTTCTTTTCATCTATAGTGCTGTTTTTCACAATCATTCCAGTACCATCAAATTTCCCCATGAAGTTTAAACTTGTCCCAAAGACCTGATTGTTGAGTTTAATTATATTTGTCACGTGTCAGATTTGTTGTCCCTAGATGTTAGCGTCAAGAAGGGTAAATGAATTGCGCCATGTTAAGCATTGCTCCCATTCTCAGGCCTGCACCTAAGATAGCACCTATGATAAAATCTAAACTTTGCTAAAAGCAAGAATACCGCCATCTATAACCCTTCATCCTGAAGAGGTTCTAGGTAGTCATAATTTGACTCTTTTTGCAACACTCATAAAACTATCAAGTTGATTAGTATTATTCCAGGTTCAAGTATTAAGACAAAAACAGATAATGGTTTTAAAATTGATTTATTTTTGAATCAAGTGTAGACAATATTTTGTAGTTTAATGGTACAAACCAGCCCTGTCCTGGGTATACAAGGGTATACATAAGCCTGTAACATCATTAGCTACAGTGAATTTACTGTACTAGACAGCATAGCAAAGTAGGATTAACTAAAGATAGAGTTTAATAAGAAAATGATTTTAAAATAACATGAAGTCAATGACATTTGGCTGTACAATTCACTCATCAAAATAGAAATGTATGTCAGCTTATGTGTGAATTATACTTGTCATTCTAAACACAACCAGGTGCTTAGGAAAATGTGTGAAATGTATAAGCTATTCTCTAAGGGAATATACTAAAAACTTCCAAAAGTACCCCAGATATTTGGTCAGAAATAAGAGAGATGCATTTTAAGGCAGTCTTTCAAGTGCATGTAAACTTTTCTGAAGTGGTCTTTCCAGTAAAGTATCACTGTTGTGAATACTTTACATTTACTCATGGAGCTGTTGGAAACATTAGTAGCACAATATCATACTAATTGTCATTTGATAAAAATTTAAAATCCTGTAGTTATAAAAATTTCTGGGGTGCTTTTTACTCTTAGACATATAGCAGGTATGTCCTGTAGACTGATCTGAAAATGCTAAACGCTTTCTTCCAACAGGATTTTATCTTTTAGCATCTGTATTTAGAGTTGTGTTCCTAAAATTGCTTTTGTTCTAAATATGATGCTCATATATTGAGAAATGATCACTTGCTCGTAATTTATCTAATTTAAATGGGAAGTTAGAAATTCATTGAATAGGTGATTTTCTACAGAGGCATTACAAATAAATAGTGCTACTTTTTGAACATTATTTTCAGTATAATGAGATTGTTTTTTTCTTCTTGTTGCACTTCCCCCCCCCAAAAAAAATAGTTTTCAGAGCCTGTAAACTAAACTAACTACACTGGATAAGAGGATATAGGTCATTATGAGGGTCCCCTTGTAGCAACCAATCAGCTTCACTTAACCTCCTTCTTAGCCTTGTAATTGGCAGAGACCACCAAGTAATTATCAGGGTTCATGTCCTTAAGTGTTGGAGATTTGCTTTGGATGGGGGATGTTTTACCATCCACACGGGAGATCTGCAGCATTCGGCAGGGGTCATGTTTCAGCAAATACCCTGCAAAGGTTTCCCATCCTCCTCCCACGCGCACCATCACGTGCTTGTTGTGCAGCATCTAAAATGAGAAAGAAAAAAAGGTCAAATGCTGAGGATGCTTACAGAAGCTCAAATGAATTCGCAGTCCTGGTGAAATTACTGCTTTCTGTTTGCCTTGCATTCTCAATCCCATTGTTTTCTACCCAGTTGTGTCTCTGGCTGTCTGACTTAGCAGATGGCTTATGAAAGCATTCCTACACTTGCCGTCCAAGTGAATCCTGGGTACACATCCCAGAATTCCATTTTATATCCATTTAACAGTCTGGTTTCTTGAGTTTTAAGTCTTCTGTCTGACAACTACTTTTTCTTTAGAGTTCTCATTAAGGCCTGGTTCCTCAGTGCTTGTTGGAAATCACCCTCCCACTAGGTTACTTCCCTCTCCATTAGAGTTTGAAAGGCTAAAGAAACGTCTCAATCCACTTCAAGGTTAATCACCACAGGGATGTTTGCTACAAACATAGAATTGAAAATGTACTCAGAAAAATGAAAATCTTCTCTCATCATTGTCACAACCCTTCAAGGCAAGGTATTTTTGAAGAGTCAAACAATTTATGGTTGGCTTCAAGTCTTATTCTTTGTTATTTTTTATTCTAATTAGAATAAGAAAAACAAAACTCCCACTTCCAAGTCCAAAAGCAACATAAAGCTGTCAATGAGAACATTAGAGAACACACCGTTCTTTCGATCTAACTAAAACATTTCAGAATTGTAGAGATGTAGCACAGAGCCAGACCATTTTATCTTAACCAAATAACAAAAGAAAAAGGGGTAGGAATATTTTGGAATCAAGGACTCTGAAGAACCCTCTCCTGCCTGCAGTTTGGTGGATACATCCTGGCTATGCAAATTTTGGGTACAGGATGTAGTTTGAAAGGGCACCTGGGATGCCATTTCTGTCATAGAGTATGCCAAGTCTAAGTCACCTCACTCTATTCCTGCTAGAGATTGATTTTTGCTTTTGTTTTTTTATTTGTTTGTTTTTGTTGTTTTTGTTTTAATCCCCACTTACTGGGACTCAATAACCTTCATGTAGCATTTGAGAACTTGAAGAAACTTTTGGATCCTCTCCCTCTGTGCATGTAGCCACACAATTTTGCTTATGTATTTAGAATCTTGGAAGTCATCATGTGGTTGATGGGGAGCAGTTTTTAAATCAACTATTATGCAAACTATTGAAACAATAATTAAAATAGACTCATAAGAATTAAATGCAATACGATACTACAGATTATTCCCACTTATGGGTTTTAGAATTTTAGGAGAATTGTTGAAAGTTAGATCAGAACTAGAATCTACTCACAGCTAAAATTTTAAGGAGAGCCCCAGAATTATAAAGTAATTTAAAGTGGTCAGGATTTAGCCTGGAACATATGAGTAGCCAGTATTTCTATGGTCTTTCTACATAGACCACACTGATGATGCTAGATTTTCCTGATCTACCTTTCCTAACTCCAACCAAGTGCTTTCCCCAGAGTAGTTGTTAATAAAAATTAAAATCCATCAATATTTTTAATAGATGCATCAATATATTCAATACCGAATAGGTTCTATATTTGTCTTCTGCTTTCTTCAAAACCATAAAGCTTGCTGGATGCCAGGGTCTTATTCCTGTAATCCTAGCTTCTAGGAGGCTGAGACTTAGAGGACCAAGGTTCAAAGCCAGGAGCTCTGGCAGAAAAGTCCTGCAGACTCCATCTCCAAAACAAGAAACAAAAAGTTGGAATGGAGGCTTGGCTCAAGTGAGACTGCTTAGCAAGCAAGCTTTAAGGTCCGCCCTGAGAAGGCCAGGCAGACTCCTCCCTCCTCTTGACTAAGTCCCCTCCTACTACCTGTGTCACCTAGGAAACTGGCACACCTGGACAATCACCTCCCCCTCCTCCAAGGTCACATCCTGCTTCCCATGCTTCTCATGACCAGGGCAGGGTCCCAAGCCTTGAGGTCATGTCCACATTCAGTGTGGCCACACCTTCCCTCCCCTGACCCAGCACCTTCTCTCTGCCCCTTTCCTACTTAAACCCAGGTCAGACCTCAGCCTGATCCTTTCAGCCAGGCCATGTGGTCTCCACCACCGGAGAGACACTGGGGTGGGGGCAGGGCAGCAGCTTGGTAAATAAACTCTTTCTGCCTGAATACTGCATGGTGTTCTCTTTATCAGCCAATTAAACCTACATATCTAATTACCTAACACAAGCCAAGCAAACCTGAAGCATAAAGCTTGTTTTTCTTTACTATAAAATTAAGGAAATGTTTACTGAGACAAAGTTTGTAAAGGCTAATGTTGAAATAGTACTGTGACCCATTTTCCCCGTTCTTCCAGACTCACCACCCGCCTCCCTTTGACCTTCTGCCAGCTCCTAGCCCTGTTCATTACAATCAGGATTTCAAACAATCTTAGAATGAATACTGCCTGTGACAGTCATCCAAGTTCACTTGACCATAAGCTGCCTATTTCCATCAGAGAAACCACTGGCCAGCATCTCTGGGGAACAGAATTTTGTTCTTTTTTTCTGATCATTTAGGTACATATTCTGCTTGCAGAGTCTCTAAGGATTAATGTACAGGAATCTGCAAAGTACATCCAATCTAAAATAGAGTCAAACTGACTATAAAAACAAGGAAGCAAGTTTCTGCCCAGCTCCTCTTTCACTTGCTTGCTATGACACAAGTAGACTTCTGATTCTTACCACTGTCAATGTCTAAGGGTTGCCAGGAAATGTTTTATACATCTAGATTCACTTTTCTGACTTAATAAGTGCAGACTAATGGACAAAATTGCATTTCTCTAACTTCCGTGTTCTAAAATTGAGCATCATATAATAGTGTCTCTAATGGGGAACGCAGAAAATCCAACCCAGTTCTCCGGAGTTTTGAAAGCTTTGTTGTTTAAAGGACTATGCGATCATGTATGTGGGAAAAGGTAGTATATTTGTTGTTTCCTCATTTTGTTTTGGTTTTCTTCTCCCCAGTGATTATGACATTTTTAGATTTTGATGGCATTTTGTAGTCAATGATTATTTTCCCCCAAAGGTTTGACTAGCTATAGCTACCCACTCACTGTTAAACTTCTAAAGGAAACAATGAACAGGCAGTACATCCTATGCCCATATTTAAAAATATTTACCACAAAAAAAAGCCAGGCACTGGTGGCTCACGCCTGTAATCCTAGCTACTCAGGAGGGTGAGATCTGAGGATCACGGTTCAAAGCCAGCCCGGGCAGGAAGGTCAGTGAGACTCTTATCTCCAATAAACCACTAGAAAATGGGAAGTGGCACTGTGGATCAAGCAGTAGAGCGCTCACCTTGAGCTGAAGAGTGCAGGGACAGTGCCCAAGCCCAGAGTTCAAGCCCCACAACCCACAAACAAAACAAAATATGTATGTATATATATATTTACCACAAAATTAATGTTTCATCTTCTGCAGGGATATTTTGATGTGGTTGACATTGAATCAATTCACTTGAAACCTGAAGAGTTGGGGCATTACTGATTTTTAGCAGCTGATGTCAGTGGTTTTATTCTCTTGAAAATTGTTACTAACTCCCAGCCTTAATTGTATGTTTTGCTTTGCTAGTTCTTCATACAAGTCTTTCCACATACAACCTCCCATCCACCCCCAGCCCCTCACTCCCACCCCGCCGAAGGTTTCTAAGGACACCCAGACACATTTCCAAAGCATGGCTGCTTATACAGTTCTCAGAACTGCGATCCACTTCACTCTTAATTTAGAACTACATTGATCCCCACTCCTGTGTCTAAACTGTATTGTAAAACAACAACAACAACAACAGAAAGAATACACACATAAATGTATTAACACCTTTAAGTGCTTTTTAGGCAAGTGGGATCCCTTCACAGATGCATTTATACCCATAATACTTAAAACAAATAGGACATTTCTTCATCTTCAAAGAAGAATATTGATTCCCTAATGAAGAAAAGCAATTGTGGAATCCATTACCTTTCCTCACACTTCAATTTGGCCACTTCTGGGACTTGGAAGGGTGCTAGGGTGGCACCACTACGGGAAAGCTACAGAAATTAGTTATCTCAGTCCTTTGTGAGACAAAAGACTGTCTGAGGATGCACTTGAGGAAACAGACTTCTAAGTTCTGAGACATTTTTGCTGAAGTCCCATTTAGAAATTGCTAATCAGGAACCTATAATTTGCTAAAAGCTAGTGGTCAAAACCAGGCAACAGTTTCAAGTATGGGATTAAAGTATTAAGGTCATAGAGGTTGTTAACCCTGATTATAGAGAATTAGCTCCATCCTCTTTAAAGTATATTTCCAGTCTCAAAAAAGAATAACTTTTGTACTCATCGTATCTTTATGATAAAAATCTCTATTGTTCAACCTGAAAGCTAATGAACTTGCAATAAACTAAATTACCTTTTTTTTTTCCCTCCCTTTCCTCTTAACACTTGTTCTATGGTGAGTTCTTCAAACAGAAAGGCTGAGCTGGCTTAGAAGGAAGACTCTGCTTGCTCCAGGAACTCCATTTTAAGTCTTAGTGATAATAAGCTTTTTGTCTCATGAGTTGTCTCTTACATTGAGCATGCTTCCTCTTTCTCTGTCCCTCTACTGCCTAATTTAGTAGAATCTATGTTTATCTTTTTTTTTTCTTCTGTACCTTCTCATTCCAGAATGAAATCCTCCTGTGCAAGTTCAATTTTTCCATAATAATTTCCATTGCTTCTCCCATAGACTTACATTTTCTCCTCAGAGCTACCTTCTCAGCTGAATTGAAACTTAGCATGTCCAATTCTGACTTCCACATGGAAAACCTTCCATAGAAAACCTCTTCTTGTTGTGTGTTGGTCAGTGTAAATGTGCTTTCATATTGGACTTATCCTACTGTATTGAAATGACTGCTTCAACTGTATTTTCCTTTTTATAATCTGTGGCCCCTCTGAAGAGGATAATAAAATAATCAATTTTAGCATCTTACATACACAAACTTAGATTCTCAGAATCAGGTCAACAGACTGAACACGCAATATGCCCTCTCATCTATATTTT